GGGGGGGCGGCCTTCCAGCTGGGGGCACTCCATGCCCTTGCCTCCCTGTCATCGTCAGTGGGGACCCAGGCCCCTGCTCTCAGCCTGGCTTCTCGGCTCTGTGGTGTCTGCCACATGTTCTGTCTCCGAGGTGCCTCCTCCATGCCCCCAGCGGGGTACAGACTGGAGCACCCTCTTCCCAGGCCACCACTTGTGCTCTTGTCACCCAAAGGCCAATTGGAAAGTCCTTTGCTGCTTTGAATGTGACTTCTTGTCTGCAGGGACACCTGCAGAGGGTCGCAGCAGTGATGGAGGTGGAGACGTGAGAAGTGGTCCAGACGTGGCAGGGCTCCTCCTGTCATCGTCCTGATAGCGCTCCTGCTTTCCCAGCCGGAACCATCCTCGGCATCCAGGCCCTCTCATTCCTCTAAGTCCTGAGGGTGGAGCTCGTCCGCCTTTATCTGTGCGTGTAGCGGGTGCAGATTCAGGCTGGGTGTCTCCTGCCACTTTGTCTGTAGCTCTTCGGGGCAGGCTGGTAGGGGTGGCCCGTGAGCCTCTGATACCCTGTGACCAAGAGGGACCGTCACAGACCTGGCGATGGCCCTCGGGAAGCCCTGCTCGCCTGGAAGGGATTTCCTTAGCGCTAGTTCTCTTGTGGGGCCAGCGGGGGGGGGGAGGCCGTGACGCCTGCAGCACTGGTGACAGATCCAGACGTTGGAGGAAGGGTGATGGAGGAAAATCAGACTGTGAAGCGCACAGCTGTCCCCTTGTCGCTGGACCACTGGGGGCTGTAGATGGAGGCACCCAGGAGGCAGGGACAGTGATAGCTGGATGCCGGCACTCCCAGCTCTGCTGAGCTCTGGGTACCACGACGAAGGGTCTCGAGTGTAAACTCAGTGCTGTGATGTGCACTCTCAGGTGTTTTCCACATCTGGAACATCCAGTCAACTGTCACCAACAGGCGTTCCTGAACACACAGGCAACGCAGTTTCACCCACAAACATTTTCCTACAATGAGCGTGCCGTCTAAGCTCAGACACGTGAATGATCTCGTCTGATCTAATTTTCGTCAGAAAGCATATGCGTCAGTGTGAGCATTCAGGAGAGGGCAGGGGTTGCAGGAAGGAGGAAAGAGTCAAAGGCGCCGTTTATGGTCTATGAGGGGAGGCTCTGGCCGCTGAAGGTTGGAAGCACTGCTCTTGGGTTTGGTATCTGCTTTTCATCAAGGTCATACTTCCGCTGACCCGAGTGCCCTTGGCCCCCCAGACAAGGCCGTCCCCCGACTCCAGGGGCCCTGACTCCCAGGACCCCTGCTCTGGGGCGGCGGGGCTGTCCTCGCAGTAGACCACCAGCCCAGGCTGGAGACGCAAGGAATTAAGAGTCTTGGGTGGCAGGGGAATCTCTTGGCAGAAGAATTATCAGGTTTATTTTTTAAAGTGACTTTTGCCTGGCCCTTAGGCTGTCAAAGCAATTACATGTAAATATCATCTCAGGCTGGGGCCTGGCTTCCCTTAAGTCTGTCTTGGGGGACTGTGTGCACCTGATGCGTCATTTAGGGCACAGAAGGGAAAGGGGCACCGGGGTAGCGGAAGGTGGAGCCAGGAGGCATGGGTTTCAACCCCGTGGGTCCCCATTCCGGGGTGTGGGACATGGAGTAAGTCACTCAGCCCTTCAGAACCGCTGCCTCCTTACCTGCAGTAGCCCCTGTCCTTACCACGTCCTGGGAGGGGGCAGTACCTCGTATAGAGAGTAGGACACAGCTCCTCGCTGTCGTCATCAGAGATAAAAGGCAGACTGAGCAGAGCCAGCCCCGTAGACTGACCCCCTGCATGTTGATGGGCAGTGGTGGGGGGCGTAGCGGTGGGAAGGGAGGAGACGGCGGCCGAGAGAGGAGAGCACGGGGGTCGTGCGGGCGGTGCCCTCCCCAGGGGCCCCGTGGAGGCTGAAGGCAGACCTGCAACCATCACCGCCAGGTCCAGCCGACCGCAGTGCGTCCCTCGCCCAGCTTCTGACGGCAGCATTCACTCCAGGCTGGAAACAGCTCAGTGCCCGGCTGCTCTAACGGTGCCTTCCGTGTTGGTCTGTTCTCTCCCCCACGGCTCAGGGACCACCAGGGAAGGACGGGCTGGACGGACCCCCAGGCCTGCCGGGACCCAAGGTTGGTGTGAGTCTGGGCACTCGAAACACGGAAGCCAAAGAGATTTTTGATTGTTCGGGAATTCGGAAGCATGTTGGTGGCCTGGGCCTTGGATCGCGTTTGGAGTCCGGGTCACGCAGGGCTTGGAAATGTTTGGATTTCTCAGTTCAGATGTGGGCGAGCCCTTATTTCTACTTAGGTAACGGGAAGGATTTGGAGGCCTAGGGCTTTTGAATTATTTTGTTAGTAATATGTATTTTTTTCACTTGCAAAGAGGAAAACCGTTCAGATACTCTTACAAACATTAGAGACTTCAATTTAAAAAAATATTCTGGTGGGGCTCATTACAGTGAGGTCATTAAGAGGAGAGTCAGAGGTCAGCTGTCATGAAACTGGGAAGCAGGTTCACCGTTAGCGACTTCAGATGAACAATTAAAAAGCCATATGACCAGTGTCTTAACAAGGGAGTATCACACTCTCACAGCAGACACACCTGAGTCAGCGGTCCTTGAGCGGCAGTTTGTGGGTGTTGTAAGAAAATGCATCTTCCTTTTCAGAAAGCACACTTTTTCATGACCAGATCCAGAACAAGTATGAACTTAAGTTAATTTTGTGGGCATTTTGTGCAAATATTCTCCATCCTCCTCCCTTATCTTTCAAGACAAAAGATAAGGGCTCACCTAGTGTTTTGTGCCTCAAGAACACGTAGGCACTGTCTTCCTTGCTCTGACTCCCTCGGTAGGGGAA